AATTTTTTCTATATATATTAGTTGGCCAATTAATTTCTTTCTATTTTTAGTAGAGACAGGGTCTCGCTCTTGCTCAGGCTGGTTTCGAACTCCTGACCTCGAGCAATCCGCCCGCCTCGGCCTCCCAGAGTGCTAGGATTACAGGCGTGAGCCACCGCGCCCGGCCAGATCTGAGAGCTTTTCTGTGCATTGCAGCGAGGACAGAAGGACAAGGCCAGCATAAGCCACCCGACAGGAGGGGAGAAAATATCAGCACGGCCCCCTGAGTCACTGGTGATTCCCACCGTTAGCCCTCAGAGGAACTCTCCTTTTCTTCCTTTGAAAGTGGGTCCCCTGTGCCCTGCATGGGCACCTGGGGCTCCCCGAACACCGTGCCTGCCTCCCTCCGGCTCCCGGAAGGCCAAGGGCGCTGGGGCAGCTGAGGCTGCTGGTGCAGGTGTGACCTACCTGCCTTCCAGGCCAGGGGAAGGGGTGACGGGGGAGTGCGGCTGCTGCAGAGGCTGAGCCAGCAGCAAGGGCGTGGGGGCCCTGCCACCTCCCCAGGGACTCAGGGGCTCTCCAGGGGGCAGCCCCGAGCCCACCCATGGAAGGGCCCCCGGTAAGAAAACCCCAGGTTCACATGAAGAGCCACTAGGCCAATTCTCTGTCCCTCACAATCCTGCAATGACAGCTCATTGCTCACAGATGACTTACACATTCAAACATTATTTCTCCTTTTTTCTCCAGGTTTTTATCATGACACATTTGAAATGTTCAGGAAAGTTGTTAGAGTAGTTCAATGATTAGCAGTACTTCCACCACTGAGCTGCAGCAATTGTTCTGCTTTGTTTTGCCATATTGCTTTGCCTCTCCTTTCCTCTCTCTGCATATGTATGTATAAGAACACACACATATACACACACAGCTATATCTATACATACACATATATGTGCATACATACTACATACACAGCCATAAATGTATTCTTACACACATTTTCCCCCCTGAACTGTTAGGGTTTTTATGTGTGCTTGTTTTGTTTTGTTTTTGGAGACAGGCTCTCACTTTGTTGGCCAGGCTGGAGTGCAATGGCACGATCATAGCTCACAGCAACCTCAAACTCCTGGGCTCAAGAGATCCTCTTGCCTCAGCCTCCAGAGTAGCTAGGTTGACAGGCACATGCCACCATACCTGGCTAATTTTTCTTATTTTTTGTAGAGATGGAGTCTCACTATGTTGCCCAGGCTGGTCTTGAACTCAAGTGATCCTCCTGCCTCAGCCTCCCAAATTGCTGGGATTACAGGCATGGGCCCTTCTGAACTCTTTGACAGTAAGGTCATCCCTAAATACTTAAGGAATGAGGACATTCCTTAAATACCTAGGAATGAGGACATTCTCCTCCATACCCTTAAAGTCTACAACATCTAATAAAATTAACAATAAAGCCCCAATATCATCTGATATTCAGTCTATATTCAAATTTCCTACTTGTCCCCAAAAGGTTTTTTGTAGCTGTTTGTTCAAAACTAGGATTCAATCAAGGTCCACATATTGCATTTGGCTATCATGTCTCTTAAGTCCCTTTTAATCCAAATGTCCTATCCACTTTATTACTTTTTAAAAATAACATTAATTTTTTGATGATCCCAGGACAGTCATCTTGCAGAGGGTCCAGAGGGTCCCATTTCTGGGGATGTCTGATTTTTTCCTCATGGGATCATTGAAACTGGAAATTAGTGCTAGAGGCTTGATTTTATTCGGGGTTCTGGGAAAATGCCTTTTTCTTTTAACTGATAAAATAGGATAAAACATTTACCGTTTTAACCATTTTTTTTTTTTTCCTGAGACAGAGTCTCGCTTTGTTGCTCAGGCTAGAGTGAGTGCCATGGCGTCAGCCTAACTCACAGCAACCTCAAACTCCTGGGCTCAAGTGATCCTCCTGCCTCAGCTTCCCGAGTAGCTGGGACTACAGGCATGTGCCACCATGCCCGGCTAATTTTTTCTATATATATTAGTTGGCCAATTAATTTCTTACTATTTATAGTAGAGACGGGTCTCACTCTTGCTCAGGTTGGTTTCGAACTCCTGAACCTGGAGCAATCCACCCGCCTCAGCCTCCCAGAGTGCTAGGATTACAGGTGTGAGCCACCGTGCCCAGCCCGTTTTAACTATTTTTAAGTGTTACCGTTCAGTGGTATGGAGTATACTCACATTGTTGTGCAAACATCACCACTGTCCATTTCTAGAACTTTCATCTTGCAAAACTGAGACTCTGTCCCCATGAAGCACTAACTCCCCTCCCCCACCAGGCCCTGGCGACCGCCGTTCTGCTTTCTGTCTCTGTGATGTAACTGTTCCAGGTACCTCATGGCAGGTGCTTGGTCCTTTTTTGACTGACCCTGCATGACGGCTGTGACAAGAGGTCCCCCGCGGTATGGTTGTGGACTTCAGACGGTGGCCTCAGCCGTGTGGCCCTGTCAGGGCCTTTGCACTTGCTGTTTCCTCCCTGGCAGCTTCCTTCCTATTTTCCGTATTTCAGCTCGAATGTCACCCTCTCCTGGTGGCCCTTCCTAACTGCCCTCCCCCACGCCGCTTCCCCGTGGTCACTGTCTGTTCCCTGTTTCATGCTCTTCCCGTCGCTCCTCCCAGCCCGGCATGACCTCGTTTGCCCTCTGCCCTTTTTCTCTCTCAAAGGCAAACTCCACTCGGGCAGGGACGGCTGCTGTCCTGCCCACGCTGTGTCTGTCCCCAGACCCTGGCAGCACACTTGCCACGACGAGGGTGCTTGTGTGAGCTCCCTCGGGCTGCTCTAACGAATTGCTACAAACCCAGCGGCTTAAAATAACACAGATTCATTACTGGATAGTTCAGGAGGTCAGAAGTCCTCAATCAGTCCCGGGGACTGAAATCCAGGTGTGGATTTCACTCCCCTCCGGGGGCTCTGGGGAAAGTCCGTTTCCTGGCCTCTTCCAGTTGCTGGAGTCCACCTGCATCCCTGGGCTCATAATCCCGCATCACTGGGACCTTGCGCTGTCACCCCGCCGTCTTCCTGCCTCGGACACGCTGCCTCCCTCTTGCACGACCCTGTGATCTCACGGCCCCATCCAGAGAGTCCAGAAATCTCCCTTAAGATCCTTCCTTACCAGCCCGGCACCGATAATCCCAGCACTCTGGGAGGCCGTGGTGGGAGGATCGCTCGAGGTCTGGAGTTCGAGACCAGCCTGAGCAAGATTGAGACCCCCCATCTCTACTAAAAATAGAAAGAAATTAATTGGTCAACTAAAAATATATAGAAAAAATTAGCCAGGCGTGGTTGCGCATGCCTGTAGTCCCAGTTACCCTGGAGGCTGAGACAGGAGGATCGCTTGAGCCCAGGAGCTGGAGGTTGCTGCGAGCTAGGCTGACGCCACGGCACTCTAGCCCAGGCAATAGAGTGAGACTCTGCCTCAAAAAAAAAAAAAAAGAAAAAATTCTTCCTTACCGTAATCACATCTATAAAGCACTTTTTACCATGTAAGGTGACCTATTCACAGGTTTTGGGGGTTAAGACATGGACATTTGGGGGGACCATTATTCTCTCTACCACGGGGCCAAATACATGTTTGTTGAATGAATGAATCAATGGATGGATGTGTCCCTTTACAGATTGAGTCCTGGGTTCTGGGTTCCAGGCCTGGCTAAGCCACCGTGTCACTGTGTAAACTTGGTCAAGTCCCCTCTGTCTCTGAGCCTGGCTTCCTCCTTCCTTAGGTATGTTCTGAGCACCCACCCGGTCCTCACAGGGCGCTGGGAACGCCAAGCAAAAGCGAAAGGACACCCCAGCCCCCCAAGAGCTTAGAGTATGGCTTCTGGGGAGGGGCCGAGGAAGAGAAACCTGCCACAGTCTGCCCAGGGCCACGTTCCAGGTCCCTCAGAGAGTCTGAAGTCCTGAAGGGGCGTGCTTACCAAGGAGGTGACATTTCAAAGGGCTCTTGACGCATGAGTAGGAGTTTATGCGGTAGAGGTCTGGAAAGTGACATTCAAGGCCAGGACAGGCCGCAGACCTCTTTGAGGAACTGTGAGGAGTGTGGCATGAGCCCTCAGGGGAGGCGGATCTCGGGGGATGGGTCTGTCTGGAAAGGTGGCCTTGAAGGCCACAGTCAGGTGCCTGGCTCTGCCCCCGGGTTAACAGGGAGCCACAGCAGGGTTTCGAAGCAGGAGCGAGCACGTGCGGCTTCGAGCCTGGACCCCTCACTCTGACTGCTGCCATGTGGGGAGGGGGTCGGGTGGCCAGTGTCCCGGCCTGCCGAGGAGTGGCCTGGGCTGGGCAGGGACAGCAGGGATGGAGAGAAGGGGACAGATCTGAGGGAGATTTAAGAAGTAGAATCACTGGGACATGGGATAGACCGAGAAGGGGGCGGGCAAGGAGAGGCCCGGCAGCAGTGAGGAAGGACGTGGGTGCTCGTCACACACCGTTGAATGAACCACAAACTGGCCCCAGCTGGGACCTTGCCAGAAGCCCCGGAAGAGGCTGGTGACAGGGCAGAGAGACCAGCCCGGTGGGGTCCTGGGCGTCTGTCCCTTTGACAAGAGATCACTGGTGCTGGTCGCCCAGGATGCAAGACGGGCCTGGATGCCAGGCCAGGGCCTGCCCGAGTGGACGTCCACTGAGGTCTGTAGGGAGGCTGTGAAACCCTGTCCCCCACTTCCAGACGGGGAAACCAAGTCCCAGAGACCTCTGGTGACATAGCCAAGGCCACACAGAGAGCAGACCCCAGGGAGCAGGGGCCTCCAAGAGGGGGATTTTGCTGGTCTCTCGAGACCCACAGGGGAGGACAGGGTGGGGGGCCCCTCTGAGTGGTTCCCCCACCAAAGAGAATTTCTCCAGGAGGAAGTGGGAGTTCTCCTTTTGCGATGTGAATGTCAGAGATTCTGGGCTGCCCAGTGACTAAGAGGTGGATGAGGCTTGTGGGTGGAGGGAGTACTTAAATGCAGGTCTTCCTGTCCTCCCGAGCCCGAGGACACCTGGGCTGGGACACACAGGACAGAGCATGGCCAGCCTGCGGACCTCGCTCCTAGTGGCCCTTGTCCTCCTTGCGGTGGCACTTCAAGCAACTGAGGCAGGTGAGACAGGGGAGTGGGAGAGGCCAGGGCTGGACACTCAGGTGTCTTCCTCACGTCATGGAAGAGCAACTGGACTGAGCAGAAGATCCCAGTCGGATGTCAGCTCTTGTGGCCTAGTCCTAGTCGCGGCGCTTCTCTGGGGCTCAGTTTACACATCTGTTCAGTGGGTAGACTGGAAGGCTTGGAGTCTGGGATCTGTCTCAGCTGGGTTAGAGGGTTGTAGTATCTCGTGCCCCAGGGAGCTCGAGCACAGGGCTCTTGGGGGATGGATGAGGCGCCCCGAGGGGCAGGCCTGAGAGGGGGAGGTAGAGGCTGGGTAAAGGAGCCTCCCCTGGAAATCTAGGCCTGCCCTCCCTCTATCCATCTTTGCTCCAATCCTGTCCTCAACATTGGGTTCCTGACTCCTCACCCCATTGTAAACTTCTGCTCTGTGTTGGGTAGAGGAGTGAGCACTGGAGTGGGAGTCAGGCAGCTATGGGCAATAATTGCTCCAAGTTCCACTCATTAGTATCGACCCCTGTAAGTCGATACTATTATTAAGCCCTTGGTCAGAGTAAGAAGCTGGGCCTCAGGGATGTTACATGATTTGGCCAGGGTGGACCAGTGACTCTGAGCACAGCAGGATTCAAACCCAGTTCTCTAAGCCTTAGATCTGACTCTGCCACATTCTTGCTGTGTGACCCTGGGCAGGTGCCCGTCCCTCTCTGGACTGCAGGCTCACCAGTGCACAGCGAAGGGGGTCAGAGTAGAGGGGAGCGGAAGCGGACTGCCCACACGATCACGCCACGGAGCGCCAGGCAGCTGGGATGCAGCAGGCCTGGGGTGGCCCGGCGCCCTGACCGGCTCCCAGGCCACGCGAGGCTGCTGGTCCGCGGGCCTCACCTTGAGTAGCGCTGAGTCCCGTCCGGGTGCTGAGGGTTGTTGATGCTCAGTCGTTCTGAGTCCCCATCCCTGGAGCTGACTGTCCCAGAGCGGATGCATTGGACCCCCCCGTGGCTTTTCAGAGACCCCCAGTGTGGGGGCTTTGTGGGCCCGGAATCTTCCGTCCTTCCACATGAGGACGCAAGAGCCGCATCTCTTCCCTGGAGCCTGGAGGGGCCTGGGGTCAAGGGTTGGGGTCGAGGGCGACCTCTCTGTGCTCCAGCCTGTGACATCTCTGGGCACCCCCGCCCCAGGTCCCTACGGTGCCAACGTGGAGGACAGCGTCTGCTGCCGCGACTTCCTCCGATGGCCCCTGCCCCTGCGGAAGGTGAAGGAGTTCTACTGGACCTCGCACTCCTGCCGGAGGCCCGGCGTGGTGTGAGTAGGCAGCTGGGGCCCGGGGCCTTGGAGGGCTTGACAGGTGCCGCCTGGGAAGCCGGCCCACGTGCGGGTGGGTGGGACAGACCCAGGGATGAGGGGAACGCGGGGTTTCCGGATGCCAGCGGGAGGGCTCGGCCAGAAGACTGACGGCTCGGCCCGGGCTTGAGTGTACCAAGAAGGAAATAATCTGATCATTCAACAGTAATGTGATCGCTATTGGGCACCTACTCTGTGCCAGGCGACATGCCAGCTTGCGAGAATGCAGAGGCAAGCGGACAGGGTGTCACCCGGCGTGGGCGCGGCGGGGCAGGCCGTCCACAGCTGTCGGGGTATGGGGCGTAGCAAAGGGTACTGGCAGCATGCTGGTGCCACTGAGTCAGCAAAGATGCTCGCTCCAGAAGCATCTGGGTTCCTCCCCAGGCCCCGGGGTGTCGTGGGAGGTGGCCCACTTTGACCGGAAGCACATTACGAACTAAAATGTATAGAGTGCTTCTGGCATGCCCGGCACTGTTCCGATCATTACCCGTGTTAACTCGTCTAATTCCTCTTGTGTAGACAGAGAAACAGGCTGAGCAGGGGAAGTGACTTGCTCAAGGTCACCCAGGCTGGAACTGAGACTCACTCCCGGGTCCTTGTTCAGGGCTTTCTCCTGAGTCTCTTGTTATTTATTTATTTATTTATTTATTATTTTTAGACAGAGTCTCACTCTGTTGCCTGGGCTAGAGTGAGTGCCGTGGCGTCAGCCTAGCTCACAGCAACCTCAAACTCCTGGGCTCAAGCGATCCTGCTGCCTCAGCCTCCCGAGTAGCTGGGACTACAGGCATGTGCCACTATGCCCGGCTAATTTTTTCTATACATTTTTAGTTGGCCAATTACTTTCTTTCTGTTTTTTAGTAGAGACGGGGTCTTGCTCAGGCTGGTTTCGAACTCCTGACCTTGAGCGATCCTCCCACCTCAGCCTCCATGAGTGCTAGGATTACAGGCGTGAGCCACCGCGCCTGGCCCTCTTTGCTTCTTTTTCGTGTTTCTTTTTCTTCCCTTTCCCTGGCCTGGGGCCCGCACCTGTGCCTGGCTGGGGGACGGAACCTGTCCTCTCTGTGGCAGCCCCTCTGGCTGCTTCTCCAGCTCCTCCGAGCCTGTTGCCCACCAAATCACACGCTGGGGGAGTCTGGGTTTGGGGACCCATGACCTATTTGGGGTTCTGTCCTCTTCTCGTCTTCCTCCTCTCGGCTGACTCCATCTGTTAGATGCAGGTGCATAACAAGGCTGACGCCGGAGCCCTCCCAGGTTCTTGTCGCATGAACTCTGAGCCTTGGTTTCCCCAGCAGGATAGTGGAATCATAACCTTTATTTATTTGCATTTATCAAACACATAGAGGGGGCCTGGCCCCGCTGTAGGCACTTCATTAATCCCAACTCGTTGGATCCCTGACACAATCTATGCAGCAGGTACGGTTACGATCCCCTTTCTACAGATGAGGAAATGGGCGCGGAGAGGTTAAGGGGTCTCTTGGCCATCACTGTAACAGTAAGTGGAGGGAACCCATTCTCTGTCCCCTGCAGCCGGAGAAGCCACACTCTAGCACATGATAGATGCTCACTGAAAGCACACTCGTGATCACCGGATTTAGAGCCAGAAGGGACTCTGGAGAGAATGTGGCTTGATAAATGGGGAGATGGAGGCTCAGGGTGGAGCAGAGTGGTGCCGGTGACCACAGTGGCGGGGGGCACATTGCCCACGTGGCCGAGATCGGCATTGCTGATTTCTGTGTCCCTTGTGTTTGCTGGGCAGGAGGTGAGGGGGCAGGAGCTCCCGGGCCCTGCCCACAGGCTCTTGAGAGTCCAGAGGGAGTCCCTGGGTGGGGCATGGCTCTGCCCACCGGCCAGCCCTGAGCCCACCCTTGCCAACAGCGGTCACGTGCCCAGAACCCGGCCTGGTGTTTTCTGCAGCTGGGGGAGGCTGGGAGCCTTAGCCCGCAACTTGCCGCCTGGTCTTGGGCTCGTGCCCACCTCTCCTCTCTGTGCGTCAACCCTCACAGAGCAGTGTGGAGGGGGACACACTCCCAAGGCACTGTCCTCCAAGAGTCTGGGCTCACTTCAGGCACAGAGCGGTCAAATGTTACCAGCTCTGGCCCTCGGGCAGGTTGCTTCATCTCTCTGGACCTCAGTTTCCTTAGCTATAAAATGGGTAGAATAATAGGGCCTCATAGGGTTGTTGTAAGGATTTATTAAGAAAATCAATGTAAAAGGTTCAGGCCAGCTTCTGGCATAATTATAGAGCACTTACTATGTGCTGAGGCACTTAGTGTATACTTTTCTGAGCACTTCAGTGCATATTAATTCATCAAATCTTCATCAAATTCTGTGAGATTGGATAATATCATCCCCATTTTACAGATGTGGCAACTGAGGCCCAGAGAAGTTAAGCAACTTGCTAACAACTGGCAGAGCTAGAATTTGAACCCAGAGAGGCTGGCTCCAAAGTCTACACCGTTGGCCATTTTCTTTCCCAAGGCAATGTCAGCGATATTATAAAACCCTTGGGGATTCTATTCCATGGCCTGACCTAGCACTCAAGTCCGGGACTGAGGGTTCTGGAAGTCCTTGCTGCTCGTCTCCCTCTTGAGAAATATGCTTTGCATACAGCAGGTGGCTCATACATTTTGAATGACTTTGTATAGCAGGTACTCCCATATGCTGCAGGTGACTCATAAATGCTGAGCTGTGCATACATTAGGTGGCTCATAAATGCTAAGCTCCCAGGGGGTTGTGGCGTCCTTGCTGCATGAGGATGCTGCTGCATTTTGTCCCTGGCGTCTCCTCCTTGCAGCTTGCTGACCACCAGGAACCGGCAGATCTGTGCGGACCCCAGGCTGCCTTGGGTGCAGAAGATCATCAACAGGCTGGACAAATGAGGAGGGGCCCTGCTCTGATGACCGTGGCCTCGGCTCCTCCAGGACGGCTCACGGAGCCCCACCTCCCTGCCGTTACAGCTGCTCCCCAACAGAAGCCTGGGCCAAGACTCTCTCTGCGTTCCTGACCTTCATCCCTGCAGCTGTCACCCTCAGTCAGGCCTCCACACCATCCCTCCTACCTCCCCTCCCACTCTTCCGAGCCATCCTCTGCCCCCTGCAGCCACAGGGTCCACATTCCTGTCTCAGTCATTCCCTTGCTCAATATCCTTCCATGGCTCCCTACTGCCCTAAGCTGAGCTCAGAGCTCCTGGGCCTGGCATCCCCAGCCCTCCACATCTGGATCCCATCCCTCTCTCCAGCCTTGCCCCGTTCCTGGCATGCACCTTGGGCTCCCTGTTCTCCAAACCCACGCCCTACATTTGCCCGAGATGCTGCGGCCACCCAGAACGTCCTTCCCACCACCAGCGCGTGGGGACCCTCACCAGCCCTCCGAGACGTTGCTCAGCCCAAGCGATCAGTGATCAAGTTTCACGTTTTAGACTTGCCCTGGCCCTCTGGCCCCTCTGAACAGCCCTAGTCATAATCTGCCCGGATTCTTGTGACTTGGGAACTTGTTCTCCAGCCCCGTTGGTTCCTGTCTGAGTTACTCTGGTCTCTGGGCTTCCAGCACTGAGCAGGGCAGCTGCTTCAGAACCAGAGTCTGCAAGTGGCTGCAGACCGAATCCATATAACTAATGTCCTTCCCCTCCCCTCCCCGACAGAAGACACTTGCATATCAACACAGAGACTCAAAGTCACTAGCAAGGGACAGCTGGGTCAACGTCTAAACCCCAAATCTGCCCAGATTCCCGTTTCTTCTACAGTTGGCCTTGGGTCTCTTTACCCTTCTTCCCTCTGGCTTTTGGTGGTCCTCCCACACCAACACCCAGGCCTGGCCCCTTCTCGAATACTCACCACCACTTCCCCCAGCTCCTTCCCCACAGAGCTGATAACCTAATCCTCGCCCTGGCTGGAGTGAATGACCACCCCAGTTGGTGTTATAAGCTCTAGTTCTATTTGCATATGAAACTGGGTAAATACTTAAGAGGCCAAATGGAAGAAGAGAAGAATTTTAGCAACTGTTGGAGGAGGCGGTGGGGGACAAGGGGGAGATTTCCCAGCCCTAGGGGGCAGCTGGCCATGGGGGGTACCCTGTGTGTTGTGGGGGTGCAGTTATGTGAAGGAATCTGGGTGGAGACTGTTTACAGGTGTTTGGGGCCAGGTGAAAGAGATGCATTTGGGACTTAACTGTGCCTCTCTGTGGCCAGTAGTGTCCCAGGTAAAGAAACAAACTGTGCACGTGCTTTCTCCTTCCTGAGGGAGCCTGATGCACCTCAGGTTGGAGCTGTGTGGCCCCGAGGAGACCATGTCACCTCTTTGAGACTCACCTGACAAATGAGTTGAGAATGTCCACCTTCCAGGCTTGCTCTGGGATCAGGTTGAAAGTGTGGGGAATGACATTTTGCCAAGGCATACCGCTCAGTGTCTTCCAGGGCCTGTGTCTCTCCTGTAGTCCAGGGTCACCTGTCTGTCACAGGCACTGGAAGTGCTAACCTGTCCACTGCTCATGGATGGGGCTCTCAAGAGTCCTGGGATCTCTGGCACCTCCTGTCCTGCCCTCGTCCCTTGGGACTTCCAGAAAATAAATCCTTTAAAATAGGATTCTGTGTGTCTGCTTTGGTTCCTTGGCATTTTCTGTCCCTGAGAGATGGGGTAGGGGGCACCATGGTCCCCTCTCTCCCAATGGGGAAGCCTTGACATTGAAATAGGAGGTGGTCTGCCCAAGGTCACTTTGTGCATGGTAGGGAGCCAGGACTGGACATGAGAACCTGGGAGGTAGCCGCACAGGTGCTAACAGGGAAAGCCAGACATTTGTCCCAGAGTTACCAGCCCAGCTGTCTGGGGCCAGCTGTCAGGAGGATTTGATGAAACCATTCAGTCCCCAGGTCTAGAGGTTTCAGCAGCATATTCATTCAATAACCCAATTGTGGTCCTCCCCTTTCAAAGGTAGACTGTGGAGAAAAGGAGAGAGTTAGTCAGGAAGAGGTGCTCATCCCTTCCACCCACATGGTGTCAGCGGAAGGCGGTCACATCACATGGCCACCCTGACTGCAAGGGATGCTGGGAAATATGGCCACCCTGACTGCAAGGAATGTTGGGAAACATGGCCGCCCTGGCCACAAGGGATGCTGGGAAACATGGCCACCCTGACTACAAGGAATGTTGGAAAACATGGCCACCCTGGCCGCAAGGGATGCTGGGAAATATGGCCACCGTGATCACAAGGGATGCTGGGAAACATGGCCGCCCTGACCGCAAGGGATGTTGGGAAACATGGCTACCCTGACCACAGGGATGCTGGGAAACATAGCCATGCTGTGTGTCTAGGACAAAGAGGACATGGGCATGTGGGCACCTGGTGCTGAACTCCCTGGGCTCCTCAATTCCCTATGGGCCCAGCCCACTCTCCCGGAGTTCCTGGACACAGCTTCCTCTGCCAAGATGACAACAAAGGACCCTGTGCCCTCCGGCGTCTTCATTATTTCCTGTCCATTCTATGGACATCACAAGTGGCTTTTGTTCCTCTCTATCTCTTGATCTGCCAGTGGAATTTCCAGGGCAGTAGCTCCGGACACCCAGAGCCCTGGACTGGGGCCAGGAAGAAGCACAAGGAAGGACTAACCGCTGTTTCATAAAACCAGCCATGTTTTGGAAGTCGGAGAATTTCTTGCAGTCTGTACTGTCAAAGTCCGTGGGCTCTGTCTGTCTCACGAGTGATGGGCAGGGCTGACCTGCAGGGAACAGGGGCACGGAGTCAGACGGGGGTAGGGACTCCCCCGGCTGGGCGTCTGGAGCAAGTTGCCTTGTCCCTCGGAACCTCAATTTCTTTCCCCCTGTGAACAAGGAGCAACAAAGCATGTGGCAGTGTGTGTGGTTGTGAGAATCTGATGAGATAGGAAGGTACAGACAATAACAAATAACAAAAGGGGCAAAGGACTTGGGTAGACATTTCTGAAAAGAGATACTCAAATGGCCAATAAGCGTATGAAGAGATGCTCAGCCTCACTAACTGGGGGAGAAATGCAAGTCAAAACCACAGTGAGATAGCACTTCACATTCACCGCAGTGGTTATTCTATAGGTATGTATACATAAAGAAAAACATATATGTGCAGAAAATATATAGGAAATAATAAGTGTTGGTGAAGACGTGGAGAAACTGGAACCCTGTGCATTGTTGGTGGGAATATAAAATTGTTGCAGCTACTATGAAAAATTGTATAGGAGCTCCTCAAAAAATTAAACAGAATTACCATATGATCCGGCAATTCCACTTCTGGGTATATACACAAAAGAATTGAAAGCAGGGTTTCAAACCGATATGTATACACCCACATTCATAGCAAGATGCTTCACAGTAGCCCAAAGGTGGAAACACCCCAAGTATCCATAAGTAAGTAGATGGATGGATGAACAAAATGTGGTATACAAGGTCAATCCAGAAGGTATCCAGCCATTGTTTTTGTTGTTTTTGAGATAGAGTCTCACTCTGTTGCCTGGGCTAGAGTGCCGTGGCGTTAGCCTAGCTCACAGCAACCTCAAACTCCTGGGCTCAAGTGATCCTCCTGCCTCACGCTCTGGTAGCGGGACCTACAGGCATGCGCAGATGCCGGCTAGTTTTTCTCTCATAATTACTTTGCCAATTAATTTATTTCTATTATAAGTAGAAAGGGTCTTGCTCTTGCTCAGGCTGGTTTCAACTCTGACCTTGTGTGATCCTCCCGCCTCCTCCTCCCAGAGTGCTAGGATTACAGGCGTGAGCCACCATGCCTGGCCCCAGCCATTGTTAATACAATGAGAATGGTTAGGGAGACATCAGTGTGACTGACAGCCAAGGACAGTGGATGCGCATGCGTGAACAATGACGCCATCACTGTCCTAGTCAGTGGGTGTTAGATGTCATTGAGTGAGCGTTTGTGCTGCATGGCTGTCGCATTCAAAATGACTGAGCGAGTAGAGCAATGATCTGCATCAATTTTGCATTACGCTTGACATTCCTCCGCAGAAACTCTTCGATGATTCAGAAAGCTTTCAGGGACAATGCAATCGACGCAGTGCAAATAAAAGTGTGACAGGCCAGGCGCGTGGCTCACGCCTGTATCCTAGCCCTCTGGGAGCCGAGGTGGGCGGATTGCTCAAGGTCAGGAGTTTGAAACCAGCCTGAGCAAGGAGACCCGTCTCTACTATAAATAAATAAAACAACTAATTGCCAACTAATATATTAGAAAAAATCTACCGGCATGGTGGTGCATGCCTGTAGTCCCAGCTACTTGGGAGGCTGAGGCAGGAGAACGCTTGAGCCCAGGTTTTGAGGTTGCTGTGAGCTAGGTGACCCATGGCAGCTCACTCTAGCCTGGGGAACCAAAGCGAGACTCTGCTCAAAAAAAAAAAAAAATGGTGCACAGATGCGTTCAAAGATGGTGGAGAAATCTTGACAAGTGACCGACGTTCTGGAAGGCCTGCACAAGCAGGAACCGAGAAGTATAAGTACGCACGAGCTGCAAGCGACAAAGATCAGCGACTGACATACAAAGCCCGAGAAAAAAAATTCAGGAAAAGTTCCTCTGGGGATTCCAAGAACTTCTGTGTCCAAGATTTTGACGCAGGATCTTGGCATGAAACGCATCGTGGCAAAATGGGTTCCGTGGCTTCTGCTACCAGAGCAGAAGGAATATCAGGTGCTGCGTTTGCTAATGACTTGCTTCAAACCGCCACCAATGAACCCGATTCCTTCAAGGTCACAACTGGAGATGAATCGTGTGTCTACGGTTATGATCTGGAAACGAAGGCACAGCCGTCCCAGTGGAAGTCACCTGGTTTTCCACGCCCGAAGAAGGCGCAGCCAAGTGGCAGCAAGATCAAGACCACGTGAACTGTGTTTTCTGATTGGGGAGGGGTTGCCCATCATGACAAACAATTAATAAGGAGTACCACCTCGATGTTCGTCATCGGTTTTGAGATGCAACTCAACCAAAGCAGCCGCAGCTAAGGGGAACTGGTGATTGGCAGCTTCATCGTGACAACGCCCGCCCGAGCCTCGGGTCTACTGCGGAGTTTTTGGCAAAACATCAAATCGCCTAGGTGACTCAGCGCTGCTACAGCCCCGATTTGGAGCCCTGCGACTTCTGGCTTTTCCCAAAACTAAAATCACCTTTGAAAGAGAAGAGATTTCAGACTTTTGATGAGATTCAACAAAATATTCTAAGATGAGGAAGCTGATAGCGATTGCAACAAAGGATTTTGCAGTGTTTTGAGCAGTGGAAGGGACGCTGGGAAAACTTTGTGAGGTCCCGAGATGCCTACTTTGAAGGGGACTGAGGCGTCATTGTCCTATGTACATTGTCCTATGTCCTATGTCTTGTATCTTCTTCAGTAAATGTCTCTATTTTGCATGTTACACGGCTGGATAATTTCCGGACAGACCTCCTATGCGTGCAATGGAATATTGTTCAGCCCCATAAAAAGGAAGAAAATTCTGAGATATGCTACTCCACAGATGAACCTTGTCATGAAAGGACAAATATTTTATGTTTCCACTTAAATGAGGTTCTTAGAGTTGTCAAAATCGCAGACAGAAAGTATAACAGAATGGCGGTTGCCAGGGGCGGGGGTGGGGAAGGGAATGGGACGTTATTGTTTAACACATTGACTGCCACACTGGAAAAAATAAGCTTTCCCCAGGGCCACAGTGTTTTATTAAAACAAAATGATCCTTTCTAACTGGTTATTGTTTTCTGTGCGTGAGTTACATGCAATGCTGTCCAGGTTTTTAGAATTAAACTGTCGATATTAATTATAACAATAAGATCAACAAGTAAGATTTTCAGGAATCAACTACACAGAGTTCTGCTTCACATGGCACTGGTCTCAAAACTAGCCTGAGTTAAATGCAACTCCCTCAGCAGTCAACGTGTCAAAGTGTTAATCATTGAACTGTAATGGGGACAAGAGTTTTGGTTTTTCAAGATGAAAAAGTTCTGGAGATGGATGGTGATGATGGTTGCATAACAGTGTCGACATACTTAATGCTACCGAACTGTATGCTTTTTTTTTTTTTTTTGGAGACAGAGTCTTCCTCTGTTGCCCGGCTAGGGTGCAGTGGCGTCATCATAGCTCACAGCAATCTCAAACTCCTGGGTTCAAGTGATCCTCCTGCCTCAGCCTCCCAAGCAGCTGGGACTACAGGCATGCGCCAACACACCTGGCTAATTTTCCTATTTTTTTTGTAGAGATGGGGTCTCGCTCTTGCTCAGGCTGGTCTCGAACTCCGGAGCTCAAGCAATTCTCCCGGCTCAGCCTCCCAGAGTGCTAGGATTACAGGTGTGAGGCACTGCGCCCGGCCTCACCATATGCTTAAAATTGTTAAAATGGTAACTTTTAGGTCATATATATTTTAACCCAGTAAGAAAGAGGGCATATCTGGGTGTGGGCACAGGCGGAGGAAATGCCAAGCACATATGGGTAGTCTTCCTTGTTGGCCAGAAAAGATGAGCTGGGCATGGTGGCGCTTGCCTGTAGTCTCAGTTACTCGGAGGCTGAGGCAGGAGGATCGCTTGAGCCCAGGAGTTTGAGGTTGCTGTGAGCCAGGCTGACACCACGGCACTCTAGCCCAGAAAAACAGAGTGAGACTCTGGTTGTACGTGATTTTTTTTTTTTTTTTATCGGGGGGTCAGGCATGCGCCACCATGCCCGGCAATTTTTTCTATATACTATTCCAGTTGGCCATTAATTTTTCTATTCTACTTTAGTAGAAGAACGGCTCGCTCATTTACGTGCTCAGGCTGGTTTTGAATCCTGACTCGAGAGATCCTCCCGCCTCAGCCTCCCAGAGAGCTAGGATTACGGGTGTGAGCCACTGGGCCCGGCCCAGAGTGAGACTCTTTTTCAAAAAAAAAAAAATTTAAAAACCTGCCCAAGTGCATATGGCAGGGTGCCAGCCCTTCGTGCCACAGCTTACTTGTGCATCATAAGGGGGTGACACTTCTACAGTAGAGAGTTCTAGCAATAGCACAGAGCTCCATCAGTCCCATCCGTCCGAAGAAGGGAGAACAGCAGGGCCGTGTGAAGTGCACGGCGTCGCTCATAATGGGTGAGTGACGGATAATAATGGATTCTGGCCAAGAATATGCAGCCTGGGTCTAACTTTCAGTTTCCAGGAACTCCGTAGAGTAGAGGAACAAATTAGATGACATCACAAGGAAATTCCACACGGAAATTTAGAATGAGAACATTAATCAATACAACAGTCTTGTTTCACTCACAAACATAGATGAAAAAAAGAAAAAAAACAATGCAACAGTCTTGACTCTTTAGAAAGTCAATGTCATGAAAAAACATGCAGGGAGTCTATTGTAGACTAAAAAGAAATACTCATAATGTAACGTACGAACTTAGATTTGGATTCTGGTTCGAAAAATAAAACAGAGAAAGAAGAGGGAATAAAGGAAGGAAGGAAGGGAGGGAGAGAGGGTGGAGAAACTATAAAATCCATTTGGGGAGAATTGGAGATATTAGAATATAAACTGGGTGTTAAATGACACATAGGAATTATTGTTAATTTGTTGGGTGAGATAATATCATTATATTTATGTAAGACAATGTCTTTATTTTAAAGACATGGGTGCTGAAATATTTAGGGGCAAAGTGTCAAGCATCCATAATTTATTTTGTTAATGGTTTGGCAGGAAATAAAGGAAACAAATGTGGGAAAAATAAGGCTCATCATTGAATCTTGGTGGTAGACATATGAAAGTTCTTTGAGCATTCCATCTTCTGTATTGTTTAATATTTTTGAAACCAGAAATTTTAAAGAGACAAAAGAAAACTCTGCCCATCTTCTGGTTGAAACATCATCTCTCTCACACTCATCTTTCTTGTTCCCCCAAAAAGAATGAAGGTCTCCCTCCCTCCCCATCCCCCATAGACTCAGGGTCTCTGGTGGGACTTGCAGCTTCTCTCTCCTGCTGAGCCAGGACTTCTTGGGGGCAAGAACTTCAGCTTAGGTGCCTTTGGGTCCCCCTGTCCCACTGCAGTGCCAGACACAAGCCAGGGCTTAACAACGGACAGTAATGGCTCTTGTATGCCAGGCACTGCCAGCCGAAGTCCTAAGTTTTATTCACTCCCTTAGGGACGTGGTGAGGTGGCCATTAGCATCCCAAGGCAATGTCCTTTACAAGTGGTGGAGTTGTGTTTAGCACCAGGCCTGGCTGACCTGAAAGTCTGGTTACTGTGTCCAAGTTGAATCTAAACTCCGTTGGTCCTTAACACGCTGATGAGACAGGTAAGGGTGACATTTCCCATGTTGTGGAAGGGGAAGCTGGGCCTAGAGAGGGTAGGGGACGTCCCCAAGGGTGGACGAGGAAAAGCAGAGCTGTGCTTTGTGTGTTGGCACCTACTTCATGCCAGGGTCTGACCTGGCACCTTAGGGACATGAACTCGCTGAACCCTCACATTGGTCCTTGCTGAGGGCGTGGCGGCAGGTGGTGTGGCCGGGTGGTCCTGAGCTCAGACTTCAGAGCCAGCTGGCCGGGCAAACCCAGGATTCCTCATTTCCTAGCTGGTTAGCCTCAGAAACTATCTTAACTTCTGCGTGCCTCAGTTTCCCCAGGCATAAAATAGACCACGAGAATGGTGTTTTGCTTACATCCTGGGTTAGTTATGATAGTTTATATGAGTTCATCATGGAAAATATTTTTTTTCATGAACCCAATTTTATTTTATTTTGTTCCAAAGTGACTTTTAAATTTTTATTTTATTTACTTATTTTTATTTCAGCATAGTAGAGGCTACAAATATTCAGGTTACATATGTTGCCTTTGCCCTGTCTGAGTTACAGCTTCAAGCGTGTCCATCCCCCAGATGGTGCCACTGCACCCATTAGGTGTGAACATACCCATCCCCTACTCCCCCTGCCACCTGCCTGCCACCCGATGAATATTATTCCCATATGTGCACTTAAGTGTTGATCAGTTAATACCGATTTGATGGTGAGTCTATGTGGTGCTTGTTTTTCCATTCTTGTGATACTTCACTTAGTAGAATGGGTTCCAGCTCTATCCAGGATAATACAAGAGGTGCTAGATCACCATTGTTTTTTGTGGCTAAATAGAGCTCCATGATAAGCATACACCACATTTTATTAATCCACTCATATACTGATGGGCACTTGGGTTGTTTTCACATCTTTGCAATTGTGAATTGTGCTGCTATTAACATTCTAGTGCAGATGTCTTTTTTTTTGACACAAAGTCTCCATTTGTTGCCCAGGCTAGAGTCTGCCCTGGCGTCAGCCTAGCTCACAGCAACCTCAAACTCCTGGGCTCAAGCGATCCTCCTCCTGCCTCAGCCTCCCGAGTAGCTGGGACTACAGGCATGCGCCACCATGCCCGGCTAATTTTTTATATATATATATTTTAGTGGCCAATTAATTTCTTTCCATTATAGTAGAGACGGGTCTCGGCTCTTGCTCAGGCTGTTTCGAACTCCTGAACTTGAGCATCCGCCGCCCTCAGCCTCCCTGAGAGACTAGGACTACAGGCGTGAGCCACCGCGCCTGGCCAGATGTCTTTTTTATAGAATGTCTTTTCTTAATCATGGAAAATATTAATAATTAAAGCAGTGCCTAGGCCGGGCGAGGTGGCTCACGGCTATAATCCTAGCGCTCTGGGAGGCCGAGGCGGGCAGATCGCTCAAAGTCAGAAGTTCGAAACCAGCCTGAGCAAGACCGAGACCCTGTCTCTACTAAAAATAGAAATTAATTGGCCAACTGAAATATATACAAAAAATGAGCTGTGCATGGTGGCACATGCTTGTAGTCCCAGCTACTCAGGGAGCTGAGGCAGGAGGATTGCTTGAGCCCAGGAGTCTGAGGTTGCTGTGAGCCAGGCTGATGCCATGGCACTCTAGCCCAGGCACCAGAGTGAGACTCTGTCTCAAAAAAAAAAAAAACCAAAAAAAAAAAAACCACACAACAGTGCCTAGCTCAGAATAAGTGTGAGTTAGTATTGCCCGCTTTATAGAAGAGGAAGCTGCCCAAGATCACGCAGAGGTAGCGCCAGAGCCAAGGCCATCCCGAAGCCCTTGCTTTCTCCATACTTCTTCAGAGCATGGTCTGGGGCCAGGGAACAAGGGTCTCTACTCCCAAGTACTTGGCCCTTTCTGGCTCTCATCCTTTATGAATTCCCAAGGTGGTCCCCTTCCTCTCCTGTCTCCTCCCCTCTGCCCTCCCTTCCCCCTCCTCACTCTCCCCACCCCTTCCCCACCTTCCTTCTCCTCCTCACCTTCCTCCTCCTTTCCTCCTTCTCCTTCTCCTCCTCCTCCTCCTCCTCCTTACAAGGGCAGAGCAGAGAGCCCCGGACCTCAGTTCTTACCACTCCCGGTCCCTCTCCGGGTCTCAGTTTGCTCAGTTATAAAATGAGGGGTTGGACAGTGGAAGTGTGAAGGTGACCAGCTTCCCGTCTGCACTGGGATGGGGCAGATTCTCAGAGCATGAGTGGACGCCAGGGTGCTCCTCCCCGGCCTCCTAGCTCCGCACCCCAGGGAGCCCTATTGTGCTTGGGTGGGGGGGTGACTGAGGACAGCGAGAGTCCCTGGCCTTGGGAGCTGTGGCCCCTCTGCCCAGCTGTGGCTCCCTGGACCAGCTGGCTCGTGGCCTGGGACGCTGGCTCACAGAGGAGCTGGTTTTCCCTGGGTTGGCGCCCAGCCCAGCGCAGTTCGCTCCTGGCCCGAGGCTGGGCCAGGCTCCTCTGACTGTCCCGGGGTCTCCGGGATCACTGCCACTGCCTTCAGGGAAGGCTGCCATCGGAGCAGGCTCTGCTGCACCCCAGGTCCACAAGTGCCGACATCGTGTGGCGGGAGCCTGTGGGCTGTCCTGCCTGGTCCTGTTGTCACCACCTCTAATGGCCAGTGAACCTGGAGGTCGGCGCTGGGAAGCCCCCTCCCCAGTGGGTTAGCCCAACACCCTCCCTGGACAGATGGACAGCTCGGGCCGCGCACGGAGGCAGGACTTCTCCAGGACGTGGCCCAGAGGCGGGGAGCCCAGGGGTACAGTTACCCAGGACCGGCTGGCAGGGGCCAGAGCAGAGACAGAGACGGGAGTGGGCGGGAAGAGGGGAGGGGAGGCCAGGGCGCCGGAGGCTGGGAGGCCAGGGCTCTCCCCTGTGTCCTGAGCTGTCCGCGCCCCTGCGGGCGCCTAGTCCTCTCCTCTGTGGCAGTGGGAGGCGGGTCCTCCACCCTGATGCTCTGGACAACCTGGGGTGGCTGTGAGCCTCAGTTTCCCCATCTGTCGGCATGAAGTTGGACTAGATCATTCCTTCAGCAAACTCTACATTGAGCCCCTGCTGTTTGCCAGATCCCTGCTGGGCTCAGGGGTGCATGGATGAGCAAGGTCCCCAGCAGCCCACAGGTCAGAACTTGGGATTTTAAGGGGTGAAGTTTGGGGGTCCATCATGGTGTGGGAGAGATCTCCCCCAGACCAAAGAAGAGCTTGTCAGCCCCAGACTGGCAGGGCGTCGAGGCCTTCCTGGCTTACCTGTGGCCAGTGCTCCCTGTCATTTGCCCCTTGTCCTTCTGGCTAGGGCCAGATAGATCCTCTAGCGGTACCAGCTCTGGGCAGGGAGGGGGGCTGTGCAGAGGGGAGGAGGGTGCCCTTTGAGCCCAGGCAGGCCTGGTTCAGCCTCTCAGGCAGGGCCAGGCAGGAGGAGCAGTGGGATGGTGAGCAGCCGCCCAAGACCCCCTGCCACGGCCCCCTCCCCGAGCCGGGAGCCAGCTCGGTTCCTTGGCAACATCCTGAGGAATCCAGTGGCTGCACACTGGCTCCCTTCCTCTCTCCTCCCACCGCCTGCGGGGGCTGGGAGGCGGAGGCAGAGAGCCCCATTATAAAAAGCGACAGCGCTCAGGCGGCAGCAGCACTGAGCTGTCGCGTGGCCCCAGCCGCCTGCCTGCCTGGCCCCCGCCGGGACCCTCGCCCACCCAGCCATGGCTCCGACGCCTCTCTCGTGGCTGCTCCGCGTGGCTGCCCTCTGCCATCTGACCGTGCTGCTGGCCGGTGAGTGGGGCCTGGACTGGGGCACGAGCAGGGTAGCGAGCCCCTCACCCCCGGCTCTGGCCCTCAGGCCTGACACTGGGGTCCCCGGCCCCTGCCTGGGTGAGGCCAAGGTCTGCCGCAGCCCCTTCCCTAGCGATGCGTGAGAGGGGGCTGGGTCCCGGCCGCCGGGATGCAGAGCTGGGAAGATTTCCAGTCTCCGCAACTGTCCCTGCCTGGCCCGGCGAGCAAGGTGGCTGCTGCCTGGCAGCGCGAGAGGTGGCGTGGGAGGCACAGGGAGCCAGGCGTGGGGGGGCAGGAGGGAGAGGGCTGCAGGGAGCCTGCAGAGGCTTCTGGGGGGGTAGCCCTGGCTGACAATGGGCCAGGTCTCCCTCCCCAGGGTTAATGTGTAACCCGCAGCCCTGGCCCCAGGCCAGGCCATAGTTAGGACTTTCTCCTGCCCTGATATCAAGGCCCCAGGAATAGGGGGCCCAGGACCAGTGAAGGTCAAGGTTATTGCAGCTCTTGGATGGGGCTCGCCTCCGCTGCTGCACTGGTCTGTAGCCCCCGTCCCTCTGCCTGTGTCTGCCCTGCCACGCTGTTTCCCTCCTCCAAGCACAGCTTAGAAAATGCCTTCATCTCCAGTCGCTTGCTTACTGGAGCCCAAGACCTGTTATGGTATTATCCATCCCACCCAACCTGGGTAAGATGGAAGCCCAGAGAGGTTTAGAAACTGGCTTGAGGGTGCACAGCCAGCAAGTGGGGCAGGGGAGGGTGAGGCTCATGGGACCAGATGCAGGAGAGAGGGCGGGTGCACATGCACCACCTCTGTCGGCCACGCAGCCTCCTCTCAGGAGGCTGTCAGCCTCCTCTCAGGAGCCTGTCAGCCCCCTCTCAGGCAGTGCCCAAGTCATCTGGCAGGGTGACACCCAGAGAAATGGGCTTTTGCCTTAGGGCACATGGAGGATCTGGGAGCATGAGGAGCAGCCCCCAGCTTCTAATCTCAGCTGTCTCCATGGGAAAATCTCACCAGTGTGGCAGGAAGCAGGTGCGTGGGGGGACAGGAGGGGGCAGCGGGGATGAATGGCTGCCGGCTTCCTGCTTTTGGGGCTTGGGCCCCGAGGCCCGAGGTGTTTGGGGATAGCAAGGACTGGAAGACGGGGAAATCGATGGAGGCTGCTTTGTGACAGTCTTGCCGTGTGGTCTGGCCTTCTTTGGTCCCGGCTGTTGTACCTTTAAAGGTAGCTATTACCTGCAGGGGTGGGGTGGGGTGGGCTGAGGAGGTTCCAGTGCCTATGAGGGCGTTTTGGAAGAGGGAGGAGGAGGGTCACTTTTACTAAGCTGAGCGGGGTCCTGTGCTAGGATTGAAAGGGGACCTGGGTGCTCCGACTAGCAGCCTGGGGCTTTAGGACCCCAATCTTCTCATGGACTTTGCTGGGAGATATTGGGCACTATTTCAACCTCTCTGAGCCTCAGTTTCTCCTTCTGGTAAAACTGGGCATTCGACCAGGCCCACCTTGGGGGGTCCTCAAGTCTGTGGCTCCGAGAGCCCCCCCGAGAGCCCCTGCAGGTCGAGGGGGTGATTCGGAAGCCGGAGGGGCCCCCCGAGAAGAGGCTCGGGGCGTCGTGATGGCTTCCCCGGCTGGTGCAGGACAGCTACGTCAGTCCCCAAATGTGGGTTTGTAGGGCTGTGTCGGGCGGGAGGCTGCTGCGCTTTATATAACAAACCTGCAGATACAAGTCAGAGCAGAGGATTTTTCTCCCCAAGCCCTGACGCATTCACTCCCACTCAAGTCCCGGCAAGAAAGAGAGAAAAAAAGAAATCTGTTTTAAGCTCGTATAGTCTGCAGCCCTGATTAGCAGTGGGGGCGGCCAGGGAAGGCAGGGGGGTACATTCAGGGAGTCGGATCTAGGCTTCTGCCGAGTCTAAAGAAAAATGCCTCTCTCTCTCCTGTTGGTTGGGGTTTTGCATGCTACCAAGCACTTCCGCACGCATTCATTCAACAAATATATTTGTTGGACACCTATCATGTGACAAGCACGGCTCTAGGTCCTGCAGCCACATCGCAGAATAAATCCCCAAAGATCTCAGCCTCCACGGGGCCGAAATTTGACTGAAGAACACAAACAATACACAAAATTAATCAGTAAACAATTTGGTCTGTTAGACAGGAAAAAAAGCACTGTGATAAAAATAAATAAATAAAGAGAAGGGAGGGGAGGCATTGGCATTTTACACAGTGGCTTTAAGGAAGCCTCGTTTAGCAGGTGGCATTTGCACGGCTTTGAGGAAGGCCAGGAAGTGAGCCATGCAGATGTCTTTGGGGCAGTGGTCTTCGTGGGTCATTTTGCACACACACCCCCACGGGACATTTGACAATTTCTGGAGATATTCGTGGTTGGTACAAATGTCCCAGTGCATTTGGATCAGGGGTACTCCTGGCATCTAGTGGTGGAGACCAGGATGCTGCTAAACATCCTATGGTGCCCAGGACCTGCCCCCACAAAAACGGCTCATCTGGCCCCAAATACCAGCAGTGTCACTGTTGAGAAACCCTGCTCTAAGGGAGGAATGCTCCAGACGTTAAAAACGTTTATGCTTGCAACCCCCCTGTGAAGCAGGTATTGTCACGTCCATTTTACAGGTAAGGGAACTGAGGCTCACAGAGACTAAGTGACTCGCCCAGGACACACAGCTGAGCAATGGCTCAAGCCCTCCCTCTGTCGCCTCTCCCAGAGATCCAGGACATTCCTGCCTGTAAGCCTCTTAGCAGTCCTTGAGGTCCAGCCTACAGGACACCTCCTCTAAGAAGCCTCCCCTGATCACTGGCAGTTGGAGGTGGTCTCTCCCTCAAGTAAACCCCAGTACATAGTGGTATGTTCTGGAACATAGTGTTTCTACTGGGTGGGATGTTTAGGGGCTGGGTGAAAAACCAGCTCTGCCTCTAAGCCGCTGTGTGATCTTGGGCAAGTTTCTAACCTCTCTGATTCTCAGCTTCTGCATCTGTAAAAAGGGGCTAACAATACTCCCTTTGCAGGAATGCTGGGAATTAATAAACGCAGATGTGCCTGTGCTAAACGCAGGGTCTGATATACAGTAGGTGCTCAACCAAAAAAGCTCTGATACTTTGTGGGGGTGTTTTGCCTGCCCCTCAGGTGGGAGCCTTCTGAGGGCAGTGGCAGGCCTTGCTCATCCACTGTGCCTCAGAGCACCCGGCACAGGGCAAGAGGGAGAGACCAGCATTTGCTGGTTGACTGAATAAACATGGTGATCCAACAGCATTTATCAGGGTCGAGGTGCGCCCCCCAACCTCAGTACCAGCAACTGCGGGAGGCAGAGCTCCAGGTTAAGGACAGGAGGGCTTTGTACACATTCAAAAGCGATTCAAGCAAGTGTTGGCTGAATCAGGAAGTGGATGGATGGATGGATGGATGAAAGGTGGGCTGGTGAGGGAAGGATGGGTGGGTGAGATGAAGGGGGTGGAGGATGAACAGGTGGTAGGTAGATGGATGGATAGGGGATGAGTTGGCGAGGGTGGGAGGTTGTCGGGTGGGTGGGTGGGACATGGGTAGGAGATTGACGAGAGGGAGTAGACAAATGGATGGATGGATGGATGGATGGATGAAGGGTGGGCTGGTGAGGGATGGATGGGTGGGTGAGATGAAGGGGGTGGAAGATGGACAGGTGGGAGGTGGGTGAGTGGGTAGATGGGTGGATGGGGGGTGAGTAGGGGAGGTAGAAATGTGGGTGGGTGGGGCATGGATAGGAGATTGACAAAACGATGGATGGATGGATGGATGGATGAATGAGATGATAGAGAGATGCATTAAAGAGTAATAAGTAGATTGAGACAAAATTTTATTCAATGAATATTTATTGAGTATCCACTTTATACTTGATGCTGAGAAACACTGTGACACCAAGACAAATAAGGTCCCTGCCCTCCTGACACTTGTATGACAGATAATAGATGGCTGGTTGAATGAGGCTTTATCTCCATTTATAGAAAAGAAAACTTCAGCTCTGAGAAGGGACAGGTGCCCTGCCCCCACCAGGTTAGTTACACAACCTTCCCGGCAGGACCAAGAACTGAGCCTGGCCAAGAGCATTGAGGCAGAGGGCGTGGCCTTTGGGGACAGGGTGACTTCGTGGCTATCTAAAGTCCTGGAGGTGGGCAGTGGCCTTCCCCATGCTGGGTATGGGGCCACCGAATGGACCTTCCCTCCCACCCACCGGCAGCCTCCTTTTCGTCCTGCTATGTCAGGTCACCCAGGGGCACCTTTTTTCTGGGGCTTCCCCAGGAAGACATCTGCGGGGCCAGTTTAGGGGACTGCCACCCGGCTCCACTCAACAGAGCGTGGCCAGGCTGCAGCTGAGTCATTCTGAGGTCCCCCTGGGGAAGAAGGGGGTGACCAGCCTGCAGAGTGACTTTCATATCCTGGTTCCTCAGAGATAAAGGACAGCCTGTGACTCAGGGAGGGGCCTGCCCACCCCAGGAGCTACTCGAGGACCCAGCCCAGCCCTGCAGGCCCCAAACCTCCCACGGCGGGTGGGCCAAGGCTAAGTGGGAGTCATGGGCAGGGGAGGCAGCAGATTCTAGAAAGTGTGCGTGTTCGTCTGTACTGAGACAGCAGAGTATGTTTGCACGGCCACATACATGTAAGCATTTGTGCATGAACAATTGTGCATGAACACTGTGCATTGTTCACTGTGCATGAACAATGTGTGTTTTGGTCCCGGGATCGGCGGGAGAAGGTCAGCCTGACTCTAGGACTTCCTCCTGGAAGTCCTGGCCTCTGGATGTTCACAAGCCCCTCTGGGGTCTCGCTTTTGCCAGACGTGACCTTGACCCAGACCCGAAACTCGAGCTCTTCCTTATTTTTCATACCCATCCTCCCTGAGCTTACACCAAGCAGAAAAAAAATTTTGCTGGAGATTTTAGGGGAAGGGAGGAGGGACAAATGCAATGCAAACAACTTCAATTGTTTATATCAAATAATTGGGCTTAGTCTCCTCGTCTTGTCCTGGGGTTTCTCCCTGGCTCCACGTGGTAGCCAGCCGGTGACCGCCCCTGCCCACCCCGGCCGTGTCCCCTCCCCAACCCTCCCCCTTACTCCTCTTGCCTGGGAACTCCAAATGCCTCTTCTTCTCTTAAGCAGGATGATTCAGTACCTTCCAGCAACCGCTCCCGAACCCGTTCTGGCTCTTACTGGTAGAACAAAAGATTACCTGCTCGGCAGACCCCACCTTTCTTAGAAGGCAGTTGCACTTACATGTTTAAAAAAGTGTCTGATCTGCTACATGTGCCTAGTCCTGTGTATGTCTTTGTGTGGTTTTGTGTGCGGGGTACGTTTATGTGCCATTGTGTTTGTTGACGTGCGTGCACACGTGTGCAAGTGTCACGGGGTGGGCACACGACATGGGGGTGCACAGAGGTCTGGGTGTGTCTCAGAGGTTGTGGAAATCCATGGACATGAACCAGCCCGAGAAGAATGGGCGGGGTGTACCCGGGGTGTGGGGCAGGGGCTCAGCAGGTGACTTATGGGGGTAAAGGCAGGGGTGGGGGGTGGGCAGGGCCACAGGCCGGGAGGGGACAGGAGCCGGGCCTGGTGGGAGAGCCTGTCCCGTCACATGCTGGCTGTGCAACCTCAGGCTTGGTCCCCGTCATTCTCAGACCCTCTCTCCGACTGATCAGCTGCGGCTACTTAATTCTAGAAACATTTCATATGTGTCAGGCAAAAAGAGCTTTATAAATAAGAATTCCTTTTCTCTCATCCTCACAACAAGCCGATGAGGAAGATGCTATTGTTGTCCCTATTGTACAGGTGGGGAGACGGCGGCACAGAGCAGTGTGGGGGCAGCGGGGGCTGGGTCAAGGGCCAGGGTGCAGGGCAGCGGCAGGGGGTGGCCGGGACGAGCCGGCGCGGGGCTGGGAGCCAGATGCCCGCGGGCGGCCCTGCTGACCGGGCGCCTCTGTGCCCGCAGGACAGCACCTGGGCGTGACGAAATGCAACACCACGTGCAACAAGATGGCCTCGGAGCTGCCCGTGAATCTGCTCATCAGCTACCGCCCGAACCACGAGTCCTGCGGCAAACGCGCCATCATGTAGGTACCGCCCGTGAGGCCTGTCGCCTTCCCGCCAGACCCTCGGGACAGTCCCGGGGCTCTGCTACTCCACCTCCGTGCCACTGCTCCCAGCCTGGGCTGCCGGCCACCTCCCTGAGCTTACTTCTGTGCCACACGGCGAAGGTGGGGCGGCTTTCTGAATGGCCCTGGCTTGTGGCCTGGAGCAGCCACTGAGTGTGCTCGCTGCTCGGGGGCGGAAGCACATTTCCACAGCGCTGGAACCCGCTAGAGCCGACTGGGCGGCGCCGCGTGGCGGTGGCACAGTGCCTGTCCCAGCCTCCAGCGGACGGGGCAAGTCCCCGCTTCACCTCTCACTGGCGGGGGGCCCTGACCACATTGCTTGTGCTGTGCACCTCGGTTTTCTCGTCTGTAAAATGGGTAGCTAGGAGGATGAAGGGACACAGCAGGCTGCTGGCAACGGCAGCCCCAGAGACCATCCTTTCCCTTTGACAGGAGGAAACGGCCGTGAGACTTCGGGGAGTGATTACGCTGAGCCACTTCCCCCTGCCTGCTAGGGAGTCTGGCCGTCTCGGTCACTTGCTCCTCTTGGGGACTCTCCTGGGTACTGCCCCAGTGCCCAGCCCCGAGGCCTTTCTCCAGAACTGAGTTTTGGGGCCTAAAGCAGCCTTAGCCGGGCATGGGGCCTGGCAGCAGGAAAGGCCCTTTGCTTTCTAGGCTGAGCTAAAGGAAGTTCAGCGCTTCCTCTCCCGACGGTGCAGCTTCTAGGAGGGGCAAGGGACAGAGCGAGCTCCTGCCCGACCTCCCCGCTCACGGCCAAGGCTCGCTTGCCCCACGTGCCCTCTGGGGGAAGGGAAAAAGGGTGGAGGGGTCGCCATGCCCGGGGGGGCCTGCACAGTCACAGGCCGGCCACCTGGAACCAGGTGCATTGGCTTTACCTCTCTGAGCCTCGGTTTCCTCATCTGTGAAATGGGGATGAGCGTGGCGGCCACCTTGCCGGATGGGTGTGAGGCTTAAACACAGGAAAAATGCCAGGCACAGGCCGTGGCGTGGAGCGAGGGCCCGTCAGCTCTGAGCTGCGGTCTGGGTGGTGAGCCAGCCGCACGCGGCTTCAGAGGAAGTTCAAGATTCGGATGGCGCTCAGCGTCCCGGGGGCTGCCATGGGTGACATATGGCTCTAGCCCCCCAGAGGAGCCCCTGCGCCGAGAGCGTGGGCTAGGGGACGAGGGAGGGGCCCAGAGTGCAGCCTGCAGCCCTGAAACAGCAGAGAGGGAACAGGACTTTGCGATATAGCATCCTTTCCGGAATGCAGGGGTCCCACCTTGGAGCTCACCTGTCACACACCTGGCATCAGAGGACACCTGTGAAGTCCCCTCCCAAGCAGGAGACTCACAGCCCAGAGCCCCCTGCCTTAGTGGTGACAATATTATCATTAACATTATTATTATATTCAGCTATGATCGATCTCCTAATCGGAGCCAGGTGCTTTACATAATTTGCCTTTTTTACAATAACACAGAAGTAGGGGCATCAACTTGTCCCCTTTTGCCTGGGACTGTCCCGGTTTTACAGTGGAAAGTCCCCCCTCCTGAGAACCCCCTCCGTCCCGGTGTTTCTAGGACCTTGGTCACCTCCCAATGGCGGGCATTGCTATTTCCCTTTCTGGGGAGGTTCAGTTGCCCGAGGCCTCACAGCTAGAGGGAGGGACAGCCAGGTTTGCGGCCAGGCCAGCATTTGCCCTGTACGCCCCGGCCTGGGCTGCGGGTACCTGGGCATCACCGGGTCCCTGTCTTCCTCCCTCGTAGCTTGGAGACCAAGCGGCACAGGCGTTTCTGCGCCGACCCGAAGGAGCAATGGGTCCAAGAAGCCATGAAGCACCTAGACCAAGCATCTAGCCAGGCCGCTGCTCTCACTAGAAACGGAGGCACATTCGAGAAGCAAATCGGCGCGGTCGAGCCCAGGACCACTCCGGGCCCCAGGGGAGTGCACGAGTCCCCAGCCTCGGAGCCTGAAGCCACCGGGGAAAGCCACAGTTTGGAGGTGACTCTGTCTTCCCAGGAGGGCAGGGCTTTGGGGACTTCCCCAGAGCTGCCGATGGCAGGGTCTGGTTCCTCAGCGACCGGGTTCCCCCCGACTCCAAAGGCTCGGGACGGAGGGCCTGAGGACACTGACATTTCTACTCCTGCTGCCGTCTCCACTGCGACAACCTGGCAGAGCTCCACAGCCTCCCCGCCGGGGACCGGCCTCTGGGCCGAGGAAAAGACCTCTGAGGCCTCCTCCACGCAGGCGCCCCCCACCCAGGCCCCCTCCACTCAGACCCCCACCACCCAGACCCCCACCACCCAGACCCCCACCACCCAGGTCCCCTCCACCCAGGTCCCCTCCACCCGGGTCCCCTCCACTCGGACCCCCACCATCTGGGCCCCCGCCCTCTCCCACTCAGCCCTGGAGGAGGACGCCGGGGCCAAAGGCCAAGCTGTGGGCGAGGAGGGCCAGAGCCCCCGGCCGGAGAACTTTCTAGGCCCCGAGGAGACGGATCCTGTTCTAGCTCACACGGATGCTTTCCAGGACTGGGAGCCTGGCAGCATGGCCCACGTTTCTGTGGTCCCCGTGGCTTCTGAAGTGAGCCCCAGCCGGGAGCCAGTGGCCTCAGGCAGCTGGGCCCCCAAGGCGGAGGAGCCCGTCCACGCCACCGTGGACCCGCAGCGGCTGAGCGTCCTCATCACCGCCGCCCCTGACCCCCAGGCGGCCACGCGCAGGCAGGCGGTGGGGCTGCTGGCCTTCCTTGGCTTGCTCTTCTGCCTGGGTGTGGCCATGTTCGCCTACCAGAGCCTGCAGGGCTGCCCTCGCAAGGTGGCGGGGGAGATGGTGGAGAGCCTTCGCTACGTCCCCCGGAGCTGTGGCAGCAACTCCTATGTCCTGGTGCCAGTGTGAGCCGCCCCCTGCCTGCATCCAGCCATTTGACTCAGACTGGGGTCCCCTGTCTTCATACCCCCCTCGCCCAAGGGCCTGGCCTGAGCTGGGGTGACCGGGGCGGGAGCTGTGGTCCTCTAGGTGTGAGCTGCTCCTCGCTCCCGGGCACACCCCGGGAGGCCAGCCTTGGCCATTCTCGGCCAGCGGGGACAGGGCGAGTGGCCTCCCAGCTCAGCCCAAATCCAAAACACTCCTCTGCTGCTGGCTGGTCAGAGGGTCCCTTTGACACTGTCCCTGTCCCAGTGGACGATTATTTATTGAATGCCCAGACCCCCGACCCACACCTCCCTGTGGGCACCGTGTCATCCCAGATGAGCATCAAGCCAGGCCCTTTGGCCCACGCCCTCTGACCCCATCGTGTCTCTTGGTCCTGCTGCAGTCGCCAGTCACCCCGGCCACCTGCGGTGCTATCTCCCCCATCCTCTGTACACAGCCCACGCCCCAACTGGTGACGTGTCTTTTCCTGCATGAAGCTAGTGTGGCGCTCCCAGGGACGGCTCTGCCCTCGGCTAGGCATTGGGCAGGGGGAGATAAAGCCATCTGGTGGCTTTGAGAACCGGTGGCTTTCCTCCCGGGTCCATGCCGTGTAGTGAAGGAACATTGACTCTGAGCCCGAAGGCTAGGTCCTGCCCCCAGGTCCCCCGCTGCCCACCAAGCTAATCCCATCGGTGAAAGAAAGAAGGGTGGAAGATTTGTGGCAATACCCGTACCCCTGACATCACGAACTGATCCCAAGACTGTGTCCCTGGCCCTGGCTGCAGCCCACCATCTTTACTGGCAGAGCACTTTAGACTGTCACTGCCAACAGGGCAGACTGGTCTTTGGACCCTGTGCCCGGGAGGGCCTGCAAGGGCCGAGGTTGACAGTGCAGGTCCTGCCCTGTGGGTCCCCGCATGGGGTGGGTGGAGCCCAGACCGGCTCTGCCGGCCCCTCCTAGTCTGAGCCTCTCAGACAGCTGGAGCTCTGCCCTGCCAGGAGGACCAAGGGACAGAGGGACAGGGGGACGGGTGAGGGAGGAGAGGGCTGCAAGGAGCCGGGGAAGAGCTTCAGGAGCAGCTGCACTCCCGGTGCTGCTGGGGGGCTTGTGCGGCTCTGGGCCTCACATCCCCTGTGGTCCCACAGCCCCGGGTTCCCCTGCCACCCCTCTCGCTCCCCGAAATCACCATTCTCTGCACTCCGAGACCTTCTTCCCTGATCCTTGTCCCCGCTGCAGGCAGGGCCAGGGATTTCCATGCTGTTTTCCACGAGCTCATGTTTATTTCTGAAAGGGACGCTGCCTGGGGAGGGGTGGCTGCAGGAGAGGGGAAGTGCGGGCACAGAGTCGGGCTCCCTTTCTTGGCCGCTGAGACTCAGGCAAGCCCCGATGGGCTGCAGCTGCCTGGGCTGAGCAGCGCCCCCCGGTTGCGGCCGGGCCTGCGGGACTCGCCCCTCGGGGGCCCTGGCGGCAGCTTTCCCCAAGGGCGACGCTTGCCCTCCACCCGAGGTGCCAGTGACACACTCCTTCTCGGACCGGTGCTCCGAGGAAGAAGACACAGCTCTGAAGCACGGAGAGAGGGAAGTCGCAACGCCCGGCCCATGTGGCCGCTACCCGCCCCACGCTGGGCAGGCTGGCCCGAGTGGGATCACTCTGGTGGCCCGGAGACGGGGTAGCAGGTCTGAGTGCACTTTGTACTGGCTCCCCCGGGCTGGGAGAGCCCTCAAGGGATGGGACACCTGGCGACAGGCTCCCTTCCTTTGTGAGGAAGCTGCTGGGGCCAGCAGGCCCCCTTCCGTGGATGTTGTGAGTTCCTCTAATCAGGACATGGACAGGACGATCTGGGGAAGGCTTTGGAAAGAGTAGGTTCATCCTTTCACTTTTCCAACCCTCATCACTAATGTCCGTGCCATTTTGTATTTTACTAATAAAATTTAAAAGTCTTGTGAATCAAATAAAGTTGGTTTCTCTGGGTCTGGCCCAGCAACCAAGGCCTGGGGGTGGGGGCAAAAAAAAGGGAGGGGCCAAGATGCCCTGGAGAGCCTTGGCTCCAGCCCACCTGGGGCGGAGGGGCAGGGATTTCTTCAGAGGGGCATTGGGGATGGGAGGGGGAGGGTTGGGGTGCTAGCCTGCCTCTGTTCTGCCCAGCTGTGTGATGCTGGGCTGGTGCCTTCACCTCTCTGGGCCTGTATAAATGTGGGTGTGAGGCCTCCCCTACCTTGTGTAGCCCTAGCCGTGCCCACTGAACCCCCATCCCAGGGCCCTGGTATCACTCTCAGTGGTGACCCCTGGGGACAAACGGGGCACGTTTTCCTATCTGCTGCCTTTGCTACTGAAAGCTCGGCCCTGTCCTCCGTGTCAGAGAATGAGAACAAGTGGCTTGAGGAGAAGGAAAGAGAAGTTTATTACTTTGCCGGCAGAGGAGGAAAAATGGTAGACTCTCATCTCAAAATCCAAATTCCTGAACATAAGCAGAAACGCAGAGGTTTTAAAGGGAGGGCCCTCAGTTCTAGGCTACTGGGTTAATGATCCTAATCATCCCATCTCACTCAAAGACAAAGCCTGTGACCTCCGCCCACCTGGGCCCACTGGCTGAGCTGTTTCCTGTAACACAAAGACCAAAAGACACAGGCCAGCCCTCAGTTCCCAAAAAGAGTAGGGGATGTTTTTTATGTTTTTGGTTTTTTTTGAGACAGAGTCTCGCTTTGTTGCCCAGGCTAGAGTGAGTGCTGTGGCGTCAGCCTAGCTCACAGCAACCTCAATCTCCTGGACTCAAGCGATCCTCCTGCCTCAGCCTCCCGAATAGCTGGGACTACAGGCATGCGCCACCATGCCCGGCTAGTTTTTTTTCTATATATATTAGTTGGCCAATTAATTTATTTCTATAGTAGAGACGGGGTCTCCCTCTTGCTCAGGCTGGTTTCGAACTCCTGACCTCGAACAATCTGCCCTCCTCGGCCTCCCAGAGTGCCAGGCCGAGTAGGGGATGTTTTAAAGAGACAGGAAATATTTTTGCCATTTTTTCCCAGGCCATTCCCTCCATAACATATTCCCTACACTCAACTGTATACACTTCCGGATCTATGGGAGGAGGGGCGACTTCCCTGTCACACCTAGACTCATTCCTGGTTCAGATAAACATCAAAGAGGGATTGCATCTTCTCTTCTCATTCATTGGTGTGGCTCAAATGTGAGCCTCCTGGTGGCCCCTAAGCCCTCCAGTGTCCCAGAATGTCATCATAAGAGCTGCTAGGGACAAGTGTGCAGGTTGGAAACTGCACAAGAGTGCCCCGGGCCAAGGCCAGGCTACTGATATATAATATTTCATGGATTTTTAAGATGCACCCTTTTCACACTATGACATGTTTGGAATTGGGATTCATTTTGCAGTCAATGGCTTGTCACAGTGTAATTGGCAGGGTTTTTATTAGCAGTTTATTAAATATCAGAACATCTTACTATTAATAGCATCTTAGATTCAATGTCTGCATGGTATTTTTAAAAATTAGAGGCAACATTTAAAAATTAGGAATTTGCTCAAATGAACCCACTTTCCTGTGTTCCCTCAGGTGAGTCAGAAGGTCTGGTCCCACCGGCACTTGCTCCCCCAGGGTGACAGTGGGGGAGGGCCTGAGCAGGGGCTGACCCTTGAGATGGGGCAGGCCCTGGTGAGCCCCCCAGTGTCCTGCCATCCCCTCCACCTCTGGGAGCTCCCCCACCCCGTGCCCTTGTCAGTTGCTATTCATCATTGCCCTTCCCTTGTTCTCTTATAATTAAGGATATTTTTCTCTGAGCCCAAGTCTCCACCAAAATCGAGTCAAGGAAAGACAGACCATGACGCGCACAGGATTTCTCTGGTACCCTGATCATATCACCGCCTGCCAAACCTCAAAGAGATTTGGGTTTGCAGCTCCTGCAGGAATCCGTGTTTGCTATCTTTGCCCAGTGCTGCAAATTCCGGTTCTCCCTTTTGCAGTGAGCTCTTCCTGCTTCGCCCCCAACCCAGTTTTGTCTGCATTTGCCCATTCCCACCCCCAAGGAAGGAGCTAGCTGCAGACCTCCTCCCAGCTCCCAGCCCCCACCCCTCCCCCACGCACCACCCAGCGGCAGCAGGAAACACCAACAGAGGCTTTGAAATGAAATGATTCCTGTCTTTTCATCCCATTCTTAGGTAAAATCGAAACCTCCTGTGCAGGCTCTGGACAAGGGAGGGAGGCAGCCCTGTTTTTCCTGCTCAGTCCAGGGCAATTCCCACGGGATCCAGAAGTGTTTGTGTTGTTTTATTTGCTCTTTCAGTTACAGAGCTAACCTTTAGCTGAAGCGATTCCTACGATTACTGCAGAGTTTGGATGGGGCCAGTTATTATATAATATTAGTTATATAATACTCATGTAGCCATTATTTATTTAATGTTTACCATGTGCCAGACAGCGTGCTAAAATGATGTACAATGATCCCCATCTCATCTTACTGACGATGAAGATGAGGCTCTCAAAGGACATGTGACTTGCTCAAGGTCACACAGCTTGTAAGCAGTAGAGCTGGGACGGGACTCAAGGTCTCTCTCCAGAACTCTGGAACCTTAAACGCTGTTTCTGAAAGTGTGAGCCTCAGGCACTCTTCCAAGTTCAGGCGCCTGAGCCCCACTTCCGACCTACTGAATTCAGACTCCCACTCCAGGAGTGGGACTTGCAAACATGCACTTGCAAGGTGCAGCACCCCCTCCTCATGTCCCCTCGTCCCCTAGCCCCTCCCTGACTCCACCCCACCCTGCCTTCAAAAAAAAGTGATTTAATCTTAGAGTGCATTGCACCAGGCCACCCCATGCCACCCCCACAGGCTCTCAGGGCCCCGTGGGTAGTAGCCACCCTTTGCCCTTTGATGTTAGTCCCCTCTATGTCCTCTGTACATTCCCCAGCAGGGTGAGGCCAGGCAGAAAAACACAGAAATGAATGGCTGGGAATTTCCAGAGCTTGGGGCAGAATAACAGGCGTCTGGGAGGTGTGCATGGCCGTGTGTGTTTGTGCATGTGCGCATGCCCAGCTGCTTCTGCGCGTGCATGAGCGCTCAGGAGACCACCGGCACCCCCTCCGTTTCTGCTCAGTCATGTGCTTTCCTGGATAGATGATGAATCAGGCGCAGGGAGTTAAGAAAAGATCTAGTGCCAGGCTGGCTTGCCTGCACAGAGAGCAAAGTTCAGGGACTGGAACCCCTTCAGGACCTCCTTAATCTTGTCAAATTGGGGTGGGGAGGGGGCTTCTGATCCCAGAAGAATTCCAGAGCTGTGCAACCTTCAGGGATCCTGCTGTCCTCGGAGGACAGAACAGAATTATGTGCAATGAGCATCTTGTTTTCCCAGAATACAAGAGCAGAACAACACGGGGCTCTGGCTGTTATGTTGTGTGACTTTGGGCACATGATTTAACTGCTCTGGCCCTTGGTTTTCTCCTTTGTAAAATGGGAATAACAACAACTCACCTATGGGCGAAGATGTCATGAGATAATACTTGCTAAACACTTAGAAAAATGACGTTCCCGTGGTGAGCTCTCAGTACATGGAGCCTGTGATTATGCAATAGATGTTTAGGAAGGGTTTGAAACATCCTGTTTTTATTTGCTTTTGTTGTTGGGTACCCAAACAAGACTACGGAATTATAGGCTACCCATAAAGAAATGCAGTATTTTTTACTTTTTCGGTAAAGTAGGATAGAGAAATTAGCCAGGTGTGGTGGCATTTCCCAGTGACTCTGGAGTCTGAGGCAGGAGGATCGCTTGAGTTCAGGAGTTTTATTTTTATTTATTTTATTTGGATTTTTTTTTTTTTTTGAGACAGAGTCTTGCTCTGTTGCCCAGGCTAGAATGCTGTGGCATCAGCCTAGCTCACAGCAACCTCAGACTCTTGGGCTCAAGCGATCCTCCTGCCTCAGCCTCCCAAGTGGCTGGGACTACAGGTGTGGGCCACCACACCTGGCTAATTTGAGCTCAGGAGTTTTAGACTTCAGGAGTTTTAGACCAGCCTGGGCAACATAGTGAGATCCTGTCTCTAATAATAATTATAATAATAAAAGAAATGTTAATATTATGGTCTCATTACAAAGAAAAGAATAATTTATAATTTGCACAATTTTCCCTAAGTCACTACATGGTGTTCAAATTGATATAATGTTTCTCTTCTAAATTGTTTTTGGACATGGTGATATGGTTTAAATATGTCTCCCAAAAGTTCATGTGTTGTGAGGCAGGGCTCAGTGTCTCATGCCTATAATCCTCTAATCCTCTAATCCTAGCACTCTGGGAAGCCCAGGCTGGAAGATTGTTTGAGCTCAGGAGTTCGAGACCAGCCTGAGCAAGAGTGAGACCCCGTCTCTACTAAAAATAGAAAAATTAGCTGGATGTTGTGACATGCGCCTATAGTCCCAGCTACTTGGGAGGCTGAGGCAAGAGGATCACCTGAGCCCAGGACTTTGAGGTTGCAGTGTGCTATGATGATGCCACTGTACTCTACCCAGGGTGACAGAGCAAGACTCTGTCTCAAAAAAAAAAAAGAAAAAGGTTCATGTGTTGGAAACTTGGTCCCTAATTCAGCAGTGTTGGGAAGTGGGACCTTTCGAAGGTGACTGGGTCGTGAGGGTTCTGCCCCCATGAATGGATTAATGTATTCATGAATTAATTTTAATGGGCTATCAAGGGGGTGAGTTAGTTATCACAAGAGTGGGTCTGTTATAAAAGCCAGTTTGTGTCTCGTGAGCCCCCTCATCATGTGATACCTGTGCCACCTTGGGACCGTGGAGAGACACCTCACCAGCAACAAGACCCTCACTAGATGCTGCCCCTCCACATTGGGCTTCCAATCCTCCAGAACTGTAAGAAATAAATTTCTTTTCTTTATAAATGGCCTCATCTGCGGTATTGTGGTATTCAGTTATAGCAACAGAAAATGGATTAAGACACTC